ATCTTTGTTTTTGTTTTGTTTTGAGATGGAGTCTCACTGTGTCGCCCAGGCTGGAGTGCAGTGGCACAATCTCAGCTCACTGCAACCTCCACCTTCCAGGTTCAAGCGATTCTCCCCTCTCAGTCTCCTGAGTAGTTGGGACTACGGGCACATAACACCATGCCCAGCTGAATTTTGTATTTTTAGTAGAGGTGGGGTTTCATCATGTTGCCCAGGCTGGTCTTGAACTCCTGACCTCAGGTGATCCACACAGCTTGGCCTCCCAAAGTGTTGGGATTACAGGCATGAGCCATGGCGCCCGGTCTTGTTTAAATCTTTGGATCCAAAAAAGTACAAAACCAATTCTGAACTTACCAGTCAAATTAGCTATTGAGTTCAGAATCTATGATTCTTTGAATTAAGTTTCTGTAATCTCTAACCCAAACGTGCCTGATTTGTATACTTGCCCAAGGTCATATAGGAGCAGGCTAAGACTCTCCTCTTTACCCTATGAGGGTCACTGATGAGAATGCTTGTTTGTCCACTATTCGAAGGGGACTGTTAACTGTCAGTTAGTACTCTCCCTCTCAGTCTCCACTTCTACTCATCTTGGCCACAGGGTCCTATGTTCAGGGCCACACTCTCCTCTTATCCTTACCAAATACTCAGCCTATTTATTTCAGTGCTCTTCTTTAAAATGGTATTCACTGGATCACTGGAAGGCCAGGCTGCAGATGCTAGAACCACAGAGATATACCTTTCCTAAGGTATAAGAAATATTTTATCTTTAGAGGGAGAATAGATAATTCTCCCCTCCCCTGCCTCCAACATTGAAAAGCATGCTTCTTATAAGATGCAGTTAAATTTTGAAATTCTGTTACAATAAATCCTTAATACTCATGAGCTACCCATAGACTTCACTATTGGTTTCCTGGGAGAAACCATTATTTACTTCGGGAATCTGTATCATCAGAATGGCAGCCATTATTCCACTCTTGGCATAAAAGTAAAAGCAAAGCGGGGCCTATCATGGGGAGGGGAGAGGGGGGAGGGATTGCATTGGGAGTTATAACTGATGTAAATGACGAGTTGATGGGTGCTGATGAGTTGATGGGTGCGGCACACCAACATGGCACAAGTATACATATGTAACAAACCTGCACATTATGCACATGTACCCTAGAACTTAAAGTATAATAATAAAAAAAAAAGTAAAAGCAAAGCATGAACATGGCACAGGATAATCAATTTAATCTGATTTATACCAGGTGGCAGGCAATTATTGTTTTGTGAAATAAAATATATGGCTGTTGATTGATTTTATTGTGTTATGATAGTCTGTATTTCCGTAGCAGTTCACTTTAGCTGGGATGTCCCTTCAATTTGGAATTTTAATCCATGAAGTGAACCAGTTGGGATGATCCTGTCTCCTCAGGCTTGTTTATGGTTGCACATTCCCTGGGGCTTTGCTCTATTCCTTATAGAAGATTCTGTGGGTTTTTGGTAGGATTGTGACTGTTGCATATCAGTCTGACTAGGCTAAACTACATTTCCTTGAATTTTCTTCCCTGAATGTTTCCTGAAAAAGACACGTGAGCCAAAGTAAACATTGTTCTGTGAACTTGGTGGGGCAGAAGTGAAGCAGCTATTTTGTAGCTGGCACACACTGCTGCCCGTCTGCTGTCTCACCTGGTGCATGGTCAGCAGCTGGGCCTGCAACTGTTCCACCTCCCTGGATCTTCCTCCAGCTTCTATGATTCCTGGGCCCAGCTTCTTTGGGAGGGCATTCCATTTGCTAAGGTCAGAGGCACTGAGAGCTGACACAGGTTTCAGTTTGCCCCTGTGTGTCCAGCTTACACCTGGGAATGCAGTTTATTCTTGCTCCCCGCAAGAATGTTTCTATCCATCTTCCCTTCCCAACTTCCTGCCCTGCAGACTTCAGGCCTCAGCATCAGATGCAACAGCAGACATATAGAGGCAGCTTCACTGGCACCCACTATTGTGTAAAGTCAAATCCCTTCTGACTGATCAATCAATTGATCGATTGATAGATGGATTGCTCCATCTCTTAGTGGTTCTACCTTTCTGTTTCAACCCTAATTGAAACAATACCCCTGTCCCAACTGTGTAAGTCAATGTTTGTATAAGATTGACTTCAAGCTGCCAGGATCAATGTTTTCCTTTTAAACGTATTTCTTGTTTTTATTCAGTACTCTGTGACCATATCTTAGCCATAACATTAGCTTGTGGCTTTTCACATATGATTAAGATTAAAGATCAAGATTTTATGACTTTTCCCCAAATCCTGATTCTGGACCTAAGATAGCCTTAACATTAAGCATTTGGCATTGGACAAATGGAATGTGAATATTTACATAATTTTATTTTGATTTTTTACATTCTTATATGAAGATCTTTTCGTTATCTTTTTTTGACTTTAGATTTAATAATGGCTACATTTGTACAATGTCCTTTAGCATTAAGAATAATAACTAGGGGCCAGATGTGGTGGCTCACACCTATAATCCCAGCATTTTGGGAGGCCAAGGCAAGCGGTACACCTGAGGCCAGGAGTTCGAGACCAGCCTGAACAACATGGAGAAACCTCGTCTCTACTAAAAATACAAAAATTAGATAGGTGCCGTGGTGCATGCCTGTAATTCCAGCTACTCAGGAGACTGAGGCAGGAGAATCTCTTGAACCCAGGAGGCGGAGGTTGCAGTGAGCCGAAATCATGCCACTGTACTCCAGCCTGGGTGACAAAAGCAAAACTCCATCTCAAAAAAATAAAAAAAGGATAATAACTAAGGAAAAAGCCACATGATCCAGAAAACTACATAAAACAGTCATGTTTCATACAGTGAATATTCTGCAATTGTATTTGAAGTAAGGATCATAGGGCAAATTCTCACATACTTTCTAAGTCATAGGTTGTTACAAGTAATGGGGGACAACTTACCTCGTTATGAACAAAATAGCCTATGTTTTATCTAATAGATAGACTCATCTTGTTGCTAAATGTGTCTCATGTTGCCGTCTACTTGCAGGAAAAAATAATACACATTACAAACCATTTACCTGAACTCCATTATTCCCTAGGGCAGCATAAAAGCGTGTTTTTAAATAAAGGTAAACACATGGTTAGCCAAGGCTGACAGAACTCTGGATCATTTCTCTATCTTTCCAAATCTGAAATAATTTTAAGGCCATAAAAAATGTCAAAGCATGGTTTTAGAAAGAAGGCAATCCAAAAATAAAGACACAAATTTCCATAAAAGCTAGGCTATAGGTATGAGGTACGTGTTGCCATGGGGTAACAGAAATCTAGGAGTAGGAGAGACTCTCTCCTGTGAATGAATCTGAACTCTCTCAACTTTGCTATGTCCCTGGATTGAGGTACTTGGCAGCCCCAAGGGAGTTGGGAGTGGTTGGAGGCATGTCCTTTGGAGCTAATGTATTTCTATACTTCTGTGTGTATTTCAGGGCATTTGGTTGAATTAGTGCCACTTCCTGCTCTAAGGATCTCACAATCTAGTATGTCCCTGTTTGTTCCTAGGCTTGGTCTTAGTTTCTGCATTCTCCCATATGATTCTACTCAAGATTTTCTCAGCAGTAAGCTTGCTAGTTGCATTTCTTGGGAGGACACTCCCACAACAGGGTCCTCAGCAGCTGCAGTGTGTCTCTGGGGCAGGTCTTGAGACTGCCTTAGGCTCTCTGCTGCTCTCTTCTGGCCACAACTGTCTCTACTGCCAAGGTGTTAATGCTGAACTCCTGTGGGATCTCTAGTCCAAGGAAACATCTGCACACAGGCCAGGGATGGTGCTTAGCTTCATCTGTGCTGCAAGCTCTCATCGGAAGGCTTGCTGGCTCTGTGACCTTACTAGCTGAGCTCCTTAATCTCTCTGCACTTCATTTTTCTAGTCTATACAATGGAGATAACAACAGCACCTACCTCGGAAGACTGTTATGAAGATTAAATGTATTACTGTTTATGAGTCAATTAGGACAGTAACTTGCACATAGTAAGTGTGATATGAGTGTTTGTTAAAACAGTTAAACAATCAAACAAACATAGAATTAGTGTGCTGACTAGAGAAGGGCTGGTGATGACGAGGGAGGGAGATCTAGGATCTACTACAGATGTCTTCCAAGGACAAGGGAGAGGGGATTATCCAAGAGTGAGGGGTTGTCCCTGACATAGACCCCAATGGACTCAGCCCTAGACACAATTTTAAAGGTGATACACTTATTACAACTCTCCAACACCTATTCCTCTTCTCTTTAAAAATGATCTGAAATTTATTCTCTTGGGGATAAAATTTATTTTATATATAATATATAACTCTTGTTATATATGTGTATATATATAATTATTTGTGTGTGTGTGTGTATATATATATATAATTATTTTTATTGCCTGCTATTATTTCAAGTCAGATGCCTAGAGCTGGGGACACATGTAAGCAAGTTAAAATGGCTGCTGGCCAGATGAAGCTTAGATTGTAGTTGGTGAAACAGACATTACAGAGATAATTGTGCAGTTGCTTATTTAGTTACAACCATGAAGAATACTCTGAAGGGCAAAGACAATGTGTAACAGAGTCCTGTCCTAATCCTGTGGGTTAGAGATAGTGTAAAGAGATGACATTTAAGCTTAAAAACAGAACTTAGGGGAGCTAGTTAGCCCAGGGGCTTGGGCTTGAGGAAGAGAAGGGCATTTCACACAGAAGGAGCTGTGTGGGCAAAGGCTCTGGAACCATTTTGTACTATGAGAAATCCAAAAAAGAAAAAGACTTAAAAAGGAAGGAGTGGTCAGTAGCAGTCATTTAACATAATCGCCTTTTTCTCCCAAGGGCAGATTGCATTGGGCCTCTACATTTTACTAGCATCATGCAATATCAATATGGAATAGAGAGGATTCTAATTCTGATTGGGGGAGGAGAAAACTTCGTGGCGATAATTTTATTAGGGTTTTAAAGGATCGGTTGGGCTTCAGTGGACATAAACTAGAGGACAAAAAGCTGTAGACTAAGTAAATGACTCTGAAATTATAAAACTTTTGGTATTAGCAAGTTGGTAGAATTTGTTTTTTTCTTAGGTCCCCTCTGCAGCCCGCTGAAAGCACACCATGAAATCTGCAGCCAGAACCATTTACAGTAAAGTTGTCCTGTTTATAGCTTTTTTGATAAGCTGTTTTTATTTTTTATTAAATAAAAAATGATGCCATTGTCCTTTACAAAATAGCTGAGGTTTTACTTGAACAAAATCTGTTTGGAAATGTTAAGCTGGTTACACAGAACTAATATGCCTCAAGGTGGTCATTCTCTCTGGATTAAAGCTGTGGGACAATTGTGGCTCCTGTTACAGGGAAAATTACAATGGGCCATTATGAAAAGGGACAAAAATCTCTGTTCCCAGAGGGGGACTGACAAGCTGAACGTCCCTCTCTACATGCCAACACAAAAGCCTGATTGCTTCAGATTGTTTATGTAAATCAAAAGGGTGCCTTTAACTCTGCCAGGGGACTGGCAAGCAACAAAGAAGGTGGTGATTGGCTGGATTCTTGCTCATGGCTCCTGACAGATCTCACAAATCCTCTTGCTTTTGCTCTAAGCTCTGTCTGGATACTTGTAGGAAAAGAACCGTGTTATTATGTACAAAAGTGAATAATTTGTGCTCTTAGAGTAGGGGTTGGAACTATAGGACTTGAAGGCAAGAGCAGGTATCTTATCAAGGATCTACTCACTCAGTTTCCCTAAAACTCTCTCTCCAAATCAGATTCATCTGCACATCATGACAGATGTTCCAGCTACATTTACCCAGGCTGAATGTAATGGGGATAAACCACCTGAAAACGATCAACAAACAATCACTAAAACTAGTGAGGAATTGACTGATGTGGACAGCCCCCTGCCACACTACAGGGTAGAACCCTGTCTCGAAGGTGCACCCAGCAAAGGAAATCGGGAGGAAAGAAGAAAATTACAAGGGAACATGTTGCTCAACTCATCCATGGAGGAGAAAATTCTAAAAGGTAAAGTGTTTCCCTTCTCCTTAATTTTCTTGTTTTGACTTATAAATTTGCCCTGGATTTTTTTTTTTGATAAACTATTATAAGAATGAGCTGGACACCCCAAAAATGTAGCCCTTTATTCTACTATGCATAGCATAAGAACTAAACCTCTTCCTCTGGTGAAATCCAGGCTTGTCTATTTGATAGCTCTGTGACCCCAGACAACTTTCTGTCTCCTGAAGCCTGAGTTTTTTCACTAGAAGAAGACAGAATACTAATAATAATACCTACAAGTGTAGGGTAAGTATTGGCTAAATGTTCACTACTGATATTTATTATGATAATGGGCAGCCCCACTATTATTTGAACAAAGAGAATTCAAAATTTTTAAATTTCCTCCTAAATATACCTGAAGTCTGAATTTATGGTTCTATATCTTATAGATATATATATCTTACATAAATATTAAAGGAGAGATTACCAATCAATGAAGTGATCATTAAGTAAATAAATTGAATTGATAAAGAATGAATCTGAAGAGTCAAATAGTAATTTTTAGTGATCAGATTTAAAATTAAAGACATCTACCTAGAGTTTAAATTGGTAACTTATTAACCGTTGAACAGTAAATATTTTAAATGTTAAAATACTAATTTTATTTTTTTTCTAGAAAACTCAGAACAGAAATTCTTTATTGTTCATAAGGCTATCACAGATCTTTCTCTCCAAGAAACAAGTGCTGATGAAATGACATTCAGAGAAGGTAACAAGAACTACAGTTTTGTACACAGAAATTGTTTGACTGAATATGGATGACAGTTTTTCCATGAAATGTTGCATGAACGTGGCATTGACAAAGCAATCCAGGCAATGACTTCAAATTTTCAAAGCTGCTGTAGGCAGATAAGAGAGTATAAACTTATCTGTGGGTTCCACCTTATAAAGCATTCCAGACTGTTCAAGGCTGAGGCTGCATGGATTGGCATAGATGATTGGCATGCCAACGTGATGTCTATCTCTTAAGTTAGTCCACTGAGTCAACCCTACTTTTTGATTTGGTGTGTCCAAATCTGTGTGTGCACCTTGTGAGATGTAAATGTTTCAAAAACGGGTCTTTCCTAAAAGTCTACAATTAACACACAGGTTTATTTATTTATTTATTTATTTATTTATTTATTTATTTATTTACTGAGACAGAGTTTCACTCTTGTTGCCCAGGCAATGCCCAGGTGCAATGGTGCAATCCTGGCTCACTGCAACCTCTGTCTGCCTCCTGGGTTCAAGGAATTCTCCTGCCTCAGCCTCCTGAGTAACTGGGATTACAGGTGCCCCTACCATGCCCAGCTATTTTTTTTTTTTTTTGGTATTTTTAGTAGAGATGGAGCTTCACCATGTTGGCCAGGCTGGTCTTGAACTCCTGACCTCAGTTGATCCACCTGCCTTGGCCTCCCAAAGTGCTGGGGTTATAGGCATGAGTCACTGTGCCCGGCCAACATACAGTTTAAAGTAATCTCATGAAATGATTTACTTTATAGGCCTCTAATGTAAGTACAAAATTGTTAACTATTTCATGCCAAAGAAAGACAGGTTGATAAAGTTAATTTTAATTGTGTTCTTTAAGATAATGGAAGAATAAAAGAAACATTGAAGTGATTATGTTAAATTTTAAATACACTTAATAGACTAAGAGACACAAAATCCTTTAGATTTTTCTTCTAAGAAGACACCTACATTTAAACAGTTTCCAAATAAAGTGTAGGATAAAATTTATTAATTAATCATTTCTTTCCTCTCTTGTAGCCATACACATCTTATGTCAAATTGAAGTCAGCTTGCTAAACCTAACCAATTTAGGTTTGTTAGGACTTTAACAGGCAAAATATTGAAGAGACTATTGGTTGAAATATTAGAACATCACATAAAATAGTAGATGTCAAGGAGGACAGGAATGTGATTGGCTATTTCCTACATCTGCTCCCTTTGCCTGAACACCTCTCAGACTATGTCTCATTAGCAGTGTATCACCACTTAAGGAAATATGTAGCAAGCAATAGCCAGTGTCAAGCTGTTACATTACCAGAGATAATTTGTAAGACTTAAGACTTCATAATGTGAACTAAATAACCTATTTGCCCTAATTTTTCTTCTTCCAATGTAACAAGCTCTCAGAGGCAGAATCTCAACCTTCTATCATCTAGAGCATCTTTCAAATGTTTGATCAGGAGTCCATTGCAGATAACAGTTGTCTAGATCTTTCATTTTCATCAAATGGAGAATGAAAGCAGTCTGTAGTTTTCAGCTAGATGGTCTTGCCGGTTAAGTTTTCCCTCAATGAATCCTTTGCTGTTTGACGGAGTATGTTTTTCCTCTATAATAGAGGCACAGATTTTGGTGTCTTTTATCTTCACAGTGGCAAACAGCTATAAAATCTTCAAAAAGAATGTTACTGGATTAAAACATATAAAGATGCTAAAAATATTGAGGAAAAACTATAAATTCAAGGAGTAATTTTATATGTGACAATCTCATGCCTGAATCATGAATATAAACAAAATATCACTTACTTTGCTTCTTGTGGAAAACAAAATAAAACACAACAAAGCATAAGATTATAGCAAACATTCTAATGTGTATTTATGGATAAAGTTAGGAACATTGACAGGACACTAGCGACCTGAGAGCAGCTGTGTGTAACAAATTAGGGTGATCACCCGTTTTTACTTCTATCTCTGTAAGTTTACTATGTATTCCCTAGAGTGAGAAAACAACAAAAAATAAAAAGAGAACTAAACACCTTGGATGAAAATGGACTTGTGAACATCTTTCAGAGAGAGTAGAGTATTGTGGAGGAAAAAGACAAAGAGGAACGTTGCCTCTCACCTTGCTTATAGACTCTCATGGTGTCAAAAGAAAATGGTGAACTCTGGCCTGACAAGGGGTGTAACCCAGACAGATTTCTGAGTTGTGTACACCACAGACTGAAACTTCCCACAGAAGCCTTGCAGGGATGAAGGCTCAGAGAACAACCTCAGCTTCCTTACAATTAATTCTTACCAAGTTCAATCAATATTGTTGAGGGTATATGATGGTATGATCTAGCTGTTTGAAAAGTGACCAGTCATGGACAGTCATCATTTTCAGTATTGGAAACAAGGATTTTTTTCTTTCTGAAATATTTTTCTAATTTTCCTTGAGGTGTGAGTGTGTGCATGTGTGTGTTTGTGCACGTGTGTGTATATGTGTGAGAGAGAGATAAGTCCAAACATTTCATTTTACATGTGCACATATCCAGTTGTGACTGGCTAGACAAGATTTTTTTTGTTTAAGTGTGTCTCAGGGAATACGAGTCTCACTAAATATACTAGTCCACAACAGAGTTCCACAGACAAATGAAGTTAGGTTGTTGACTTTCTTACAGATTTAAAATACTCAGTAACATTTCAAAGGCTTGTAAAAATTCTGAAGATGCTTATTTAACTGTATTTAATGCAGTGTTTTCGAAATTACTTCGACTGTGTAGCCTGTTGTGCAAAACATATTGGTAACCCACAGAATCATATCCCATAAAACACGTGTTGGGAAGTGATTAGCAAGAAAAATTATTTGGAGAATAACAGACTAATGGCTGGGTATTTTGGAATCTCTACACATCTCATCTACCAATTGATTTTGCTACAGGGCATCAGTGGGAGAAGATTCCTTTGAGTGGCAGTAACAAGGAAATAAGAAGACAGGAGAGGATTGCTGAGCAACCTCTTGAAGAGGAAGAAGATGAGGATAGGAAGAACAAAGGTCACCAGGCAGCTGAAATTGAATGGCTGGGATTTCGAAAACCTAGCCAAGCTGACATGTTACATTCTAAACATGAAGAGGAGCAGAAGGTTTGGGATGAAGAAATTAATGATGATGATGACGATGATAATTGCAATGATGACGAAGATGAAGTTCGAGTGATAGAATTTAAGAAAAAACATGAAGAAGTTTCTCAATTTAAAGAGGAAGGTGATGCAAGTGAGGACTCCCCACTGAGCAGTGCCAGTTCCCAAGCCGTGACACCTGATGAGCAGCCAATCTTAGGGAAGAAGAGCGATATCTCCAGAAATGCTTATTCCAGATACAATACAATATCCTATCGGAAAATCAGAAAGGGAAATACCAAGCAAAGAATTGACGAGTTTGAGTCTATGATGCATTTATAAACTAACTGGAACTGAGAAAGTCTCATGCCCACTAAAGGAAAAGCTAATTCTATTGTCCCAGGGTGCATATTTCTATGCCTTTTTTGAGTTATCACCTGGGGGGAGGTGAAAATTGACTCTCTTTTTCACTGTAGAATAATGTGGAAATAACTCTAGATAAAATTCAGTCTGATAACCTCAAATCAAAAAGCTTTAAATTCATTCTTGGGCGTTTGTCTTTTAAAACTTCACTAATACAGTATTGTGTGATCAGCACTAAGCAGTCAGTCCCCTGGGGGAATGTGGCATAATTTGGCTATAAATGTAGCAGTGCTTGGAAAGGTGGTCATCAAATGAGACTATTTGAGGGGACTATTTGAAATGATTCCTGTGTTTCTTTTGGCGTCTTCCTTCCTGTACATTGGAGTGATGGAAAGTCTGGTATTAAAACCTTTCTTACTTTTCAACATGGTTTTACAGACTCTGGCAATAAGCCTTCCAAAATTCTGCGCCTTTTCTGTTATCACCAAACAAGATTTTAAGTGGCTTTCCTTGGCATCTACAGAGAGAAAATTCTATAGCCCTCCTTCCTAGGTGTTACCATTCACTGAATCTTCTCACAGAGGGAGATGAGCAATTGTCAGTCAGGAGAATTCTGTTTGCTAAATGTTGCCTTTATGCTTTCAAACTGAATTAAACCCATTGTGAGGTTGACACTGGGAGGGGCTAGAAGATTGGTGGGCAGCAGACTAAAGAGTTATGTTGGATAGTTTTATTTCTGTGGCTGAAAATAAAATCTTGTCTAGCACAGTTAAAGTCATTAAAAATAAAAATGACAGCTTTAGCACAATTTTAAAAAAATGCCCCTCTCTATTACCACATTTTCTCTTATTAACAGTATCTCAGAATAATTTTCTTTCCTTAGAAACCTGAGACAACGCTAGTCATAACTGTACTAGTTACTATGAAAATGGAAATAATTATCTTAGAATATTTTCAAAGTAGAGCGTGAGCATGTATTTTTAGTGAGAGAGCTCTGATAGTTGTTGGGAATATATAATTTACTGGACCTCAGCCCAAATCAAGATGCTTAAAATTGTACTTGTGGAGCTTCACTCAAACCAATGTGTCAAATAACGTATTGAATATTTATGAAAAGAGAGACTATATTTATATTCTTAGATAGTTTGTTCCACAATTTTTCATTTCATGCTTCCATATATATTACCCTGAACTTTCTATCACCACAGATAAAGATTTTGTTTTGCCCTGCAAATAAAAAGACAATTCCTTATTGTCTGAATGTAATACAGTCTTCATTGTACTATTCAACCCTTTGTTTATTTCTTTTTCATTTTGTGAAAAACTCTGGGTTAGTCCTCTTGGATGACTGCTTATTTATGTGTAACATAAATCCCACATATTCTAATGACAACTTCTTTAATCCTTCTGGGTCATATATTATATTTCCATAGTATCACATACTATTATTTAGTTGTTTACAAGACTCAAATTTGAATTCAGGATTACAGTGCTCCTTTTATTCTTTCAAACAGATACCATATAAAAGTTCTGTTACCCTCATTCTATACAACCTATAGATTTCGTGTGTTACAATGTCAGTTTCCAGAATAAAAGTGAGGGAAATCAGATCTTTATTGATAAAGTTAGGGAGATTGATGCAATAGGACAATTTCCAGTTTAATTTAGATCATCTAATTTTTCTGCCTGGACAACCTGTTTTCCGGGTTACTGATAACCCCTACAATTTTCTACTGAATTTCAAAACCTGTTATGTGTTATCTATCACATAACAGGACCATGTTTTTAACCTACTGTCAAGAGCCTGTATTTTGAGTTATTCCAACAGAAATGATGGATTCCTGTAGAAGTAGAGGTGGGTGACCTATGGTTACATGGCACAGCAAAGCAAGTAGCTCTTATGGGACTCTAATATATGCTAATGCTGGTCCTCTTAGCTCTGTGCTCTCACCAATCAATGAATGAACTATGAAAGATTTAGTCAACAGAAACTATTTTAGGGTATGTTTAGTTGGTAAATGCTTCATGTTCATGGATGATGCAATGTTTTTGCAAAAAAAAACCCTGAAACTATTCTTTGGCTTGGTGTCCATGGCCCTATACCGCCATCTTACATGAAAGCCACAGAGTTAAGTGACCTTAGGTAACATAATGGTGATGGTTGGCGATGTGAGCCTTTGTAACCTAGGAAACACAAAGGTCTGATTCAGATTGTGTGGGGAATTTTTAACATATTTGAAACTCAGGGGGAAGATGATTAATAACACAAACTGTTAGCTACACATGAAGGTTTACTTGAGCTTTTGTGATTCAAAGCTCAGGGGTGGTAAGGACTCTAAAACCAGGGAGGAGGGAGAATTAATTTATTGTGCAAATGCTGGTATTTCTTACGTGACTGTTTGCCTTTGTTGCTAGATGAACAGAAACTAATAATAGCTCTATTTCTCTGCCAATATAAAATCTACCTTTCATATAATGCTACATTGAAGGCACAGAATTTGCTAGCATCTCTCTCTCCCCCTACCTACCTATCTATCTACAATTTAAATAAAGAACTGCTGTGTATGACTTACTCTCAATAAAAGTTTGTCTCTATTTCTGGTTTCTAGACTTTATTTTCTTTAGCTGCCTTTTAAACTTTAGAAAGAATCCTTGTATATCAGCAGCTACTAAGATAATTAACGAATGCCTCTTCAGAAATCAAGAGAACACTTTATTTTAATTCATTTGCATTATTTATTTCAAAAGGGTCTTAAAATGATTGTATATAAAATTGTAAAAAGGATTTCTGGTAGGTAGATATGTAATATACATGAAAAATTTTTATTATTTTTTAAGGAACTGAGATACTATTTAAGATGCATCTTAACATGAACAACTTGAAAAAAATCTCTGTAATCATCAAAGTAATACATTTAAACTATGCTGACATTTTCATAGTAATTGTTTCTGCATATTTACATGGGATAGTACTTTTGGCACATTTTCAAATGGAGAACGGACATTTAAGTTTTTCAATGTGATAGGGAAAACATTTAAAATAAGTAATAATAGAAAATTATGGAGAAGGATAAAGCACCAGAGTATAATAAAGAAAAAATATGTTTGACAGTATGAGAAAGGCAACCACTTCTCTTAAAACTTGAACTTTCATCACTCTAAAAACCAATAGGATTGTAAAATGCAATGTTAAACCTATATTTGCCAACATTAAAATATCAGACAGAAACATAACACAATGAATATGGGTTTCTGATAACCCGTACAATATTCTACTTAACTTCAAAACACAGTATTGTTTAAAGACAATGAAAATGTGTATATAGCTCACGAAGAACATGAGATAACTGAGCCAGGCAATCAATACGAACACAATGACTTGGGTAGCAGTAAACAGTTGAAGTCACTCAGAACATGGCAAACTGCAAAAGCAAATGATGATCTCTAGTAGCTAACTGCCATCACAGGAGAATTTTGGAAATGAATTTAGAAAGTAATTTGGGTGTTTACCTAGAATTTAAAGTTACATACTTGATTCCTTCTTTATAATAACTTCAGTTGGTCAGATGCAGTAAAAAAGTACTTAAAGATGTTTAATTCCAACATCCTTTATACTCCATAGTTTTAGTTTTATTCTCCCCTTAGCAAACGTTTTCAGGCAATCCTTAACACAATTCACTTACTTAATCTTTGACTTCTCTTGTTTTTAAGCCAATATATATAAAACTAGCAAATTTGGGGTAGTTGTTTGAAGCAGAAGACGTGTGTAATCTTCAACTAAATAACAAGCACCCTGATAATTGAGAATTTGATTATTCCTTGAAGTTTGGAAAACGGTATCCAGAGTGAAAGTTCACTTTAGATACTTTTGTACAGAAGGCCAGATGCAGACAAAGCTATACACCTGAAAGAGTTAAAAATATCCAAAAACATTTAATTTTCTTTACGTTGTGAGTAGAAACTCGATATTTCTTTCTTCCAGATCAAAGCATCAACAAATATTTAGATACATCTATATATATACACACATCTACACACATACAGTATATTTACAAAAATTGCTGTTTTTGAATGGTCACTTAAAAATCTATTCATGCTATCAAAAATTTTAATTTAACATCTAATATAAAGGCTTTATTATATAGATACTTATGGACAATATCCTTAAACTGCTAAATACCTGTCAATCAATAATAAAACAGAAAGCTCTTGTTTTCAAAGAAATTATTTATTACTTATTTGATGGCAACTCATTATTAGAAACTCAGCATAATAGAAGTTGCTGTATTTGCTGGAAAATGAGAATTTTCCCTTGTGTTTTGTGTTTTTACAAAGCAAAGAATCACATAAACTTGCAAAGGGACCCTGATTGAAATGATAACTATTGTTCCATTAGGTTGAAAACAGAGGCATTAATTCTGTTTAGTGTGATGTTATGTTTTTTCTTTCTTTGAGATACAGACACCACCAACACCTGGAATACCATCCATTAAGCCTTATTAGGGATATACAATACTTCATATGGCTTATTCAAAACTGTCAAAAAATAAATATTTTGTACAATATCTCTGGCTAATATTATTTTTTCTGATTGTAAGGCATATTGTCTTGTAGCAACTATTGAGTAACCCGTGCAAAAGTTGTTGCAAAACACAGTAGTGACAATCTACACAATCAGTAGAAATAAAAAGTCATGGTTTGTGTTTTAAAGGACTCCAACTTTTTAACTTTTTATTTCTATTCAAGATGAGCAATCTGCTAGCTTTGTTTAAAGGTTGGAGGAATCAAGAGTTGGTAATATTAATACAGGAGTCATTAAAAATTTATTTTAGGCCATTAGAAAGGGTAAAATAGTTCTTGGTGAATTTTTCCTTTAATAAAAAGCAGCCCCCGAACCATTTGTTTTCTAACAAAAAGGAGCCTGAAAAATCAAGTTGCAAGCATTGATATGCAAGTTAGAGGCTCGCATATGTAAAGTTAGCAGCTGTACCTGGAAGCCAGGCACATTCAATATGGCAATTCCCGCTCCCTTTTCCTTGTCACCAGGTGTGTGGGTGTCATGGTGCCAGTCAAGTAAAGCCACGTGTGCAAGGTCATGGTGACAGCCAGGTAGAAACTGCATTTGCATAATAAAAGATTAGGGTGGGAGGGCCAGTCTTTTCACTGGCTGTGTAAATAGTACACCTGGTTAAACCAATCCCCTGGGCTCTATGTAAATCAATCACCACCTCCTCAAGCCTCTGTATAAAATCCATCAAATCTTGCCCCAAACCTGGAAAACCCTCTCTTGAGCAACTCGCTTTCTCAACATGTGTAAGCTTTCTTGTTCTCTTCTTCTTTATCTATTAAACTTTCCACTCCTAGACCCACTCCTCTTGTGTGTCTGTGTCCTGAATTCTATCTTGGCATGAGACAATGAACCATGGGTATTTCCCCAGAATATGGAGCTATTTCAATATTATTCACGGAGGAAGAACCTTCCATATGTCCACTTCCTTCTCTCATATTTGGTCCAGGAGATGAAAGAGAATAGGTTCTGCACGAAGTTAAAGAGACAGATCACAGCAAAACATGTGGGGGTAGCCATGGTTATACCTACCCATCAATTGGTTACCACAGAGAGACCTAGTTTCTTTTTTCTGTTTATGCAACATCCAAAAGAGACCAAAGAAGTTTAATTCAATCTCATTTCAATACTGTGGCATCAGTAATCTGAGACCAAGAAACTTTTAAATGCACCCACCTGAGATGACAGCCTTATGTAAAGAAGAAAATTAATTATATAGCAGCATGGTATAGTAAGAGAAATGTTTTTTTGAGCCAGATAATATGGAAACTGGGCTTTGTCTCTTACTTGTGGGATGACCTTGGGCAATTTACCAAATTCCTCATCTGTATATGGGAGTTATCCTTCTTCGTATAACAGGAAGAATGAGACTCACTTCATGAGTTGTACCCATCAGTGAGAGGGGACACATATAGTGCCTACAGAAATAGTGCCTGCACATACTCAATGATAATTAGTTCCTTTCTTTTTTCCCATCACCCATTGCCATTTTTTCGTTTTTAATCCAAGATTTTGGGGCTTTCTTCTGAGGTAAAAATTCTTCTTCTTCTTCTTCTCCTTCTCCTTCTCCTTCTTCTTCTCCTTCTCCTTCTCCTTCTCCTTCTCCTTCTCTTCTTCTTCTTCTTCTTCTTCCTCCTCTTCCTTCCTCCTCTTCTTCTTCCTCCTCTTCTTCCTCTTCTTCTTCTTCTTCTTCTTCTTCTTCTTCTTCTTCTTCTTCTTCTTCTTCTTCTTCTTCTTCTTTTTTGATGGAGTCTTGCTCTGCTTTCTAGGCTGTAGTGCAGTGGCACAATCTCGGCTCACTGCAACCTCCACCTCCCGGGTTCAAGCAATTCTCGTGCCTCAGCCTCCCAAGTAGCTGGGATTACAGGCGTCCACCACCATGCCCAGCTAATTTTTGTATTTTTAGTAGAGATAGGGTTTCACCATGCTACCCAGGCTGGTCTTGAACTCCTGACCTCATGATCCACCCACCTTGGCCTCCTAAAGTGCTGGGATTACAGGCGTGAGCCACTGTGCCAGGTTGGTAAAATTTCTTTCTTGTATTCTGAATATAGGAATTCAATCAGAGATGTTAAAACAAAGAAAGATGGTACTCTCTGGTATGTTTAAACCTCATTCTATTGCATGAGTGCCCACTAAAAATAATTACAAGCCATTCATGAAATCAAGGTTGGTTGGGAATATTGGACTCCTATACACTGTAAATGGTATCTTTGCCCCTCTTCAGTCCCAAACTAATACTAGAAGCAAGGTGTTTTAACATCTAAGAGAATGTTTCCAAATTAGTGTGGGAAAGCTAATAATACATTGTGATCATCGCACATGGTGGTTTGCTGTGAGTGACAGCTGAGGGGATGTCAGCAAGCAGTATTAAGCAAATTTGATGCTGGTGATAAAACACGGTTGTACCAACAACAGCTGTGTCAGCTTACAAGAGAGTAGGGCAGAAGCGCTGGGTAACTGTTGAAAAAGAAAGAAACTGTGCAAACTGAAAAGTCTCAGAAGCACTTAGATGGCTTGGTAAGTTGGTTAGTCCTGTCAAATACTATCAAGACCACCCTTGTATTCAAGGTCACAAGATGCATAGACTTTTTTTTTTTAAAAAAAAGAAAAGGCAATGACCTAAGCTAATTCAGGGAAAAATCTGTAGCTCCTATAACACAGTCTCCTATTGAAGAATTCAGTACTGATTAGTACCTGTCTCATCCAAAGGTTTATCATTAGAAGTACCAGAAGATCGAGTAGTATTTATACCTTTATTCCAGTCTCCTGAAAAAAATTTAGAAGGTTCTGCTTGAGAAAATGTTGGTGGTGGATTTCATAATAAATCAATACACTCAAGTTTAGGCCCATATAAATTCCCAACTAGTGATCAGTTCCTTGCTTCTTAGAGTAACAGCAAATATATGACAAAAGCAATGTATAAAATTCTATCCAAGAACAAATTTGTGATGTTTGAAAACAATCCTTTGTCATATTGACAATATAGATTTAAATATAGCTTTATATAATAAGTTGGTCAAGGTAAAGTCAGAAAGGATGTGAACTGAGAGGACTGCAGAAGGTTCTGTTAAGGAAAAAAATCCAACTTCCTTTAGCTGATATACCCAAAGATGAGTGTATTCAAAACACAATTCATTTTTTTTTCAGAACAGAGTTGACTTCTTTGTGGAAAGTATTTTTGGATAAAAAGAGAGCCTATATACCCGGGGGAAAAAAACCTCTCAACATTTTTTAGTTACATGAAGAATTATGTGAAGCACCTAGCATATTCAGTGTGTCACTAACTCAATTAGTCTTTTGGCAACTGACTTGTGTCCCCCGACCCCCCTTGCCCCATATGGCTCTGTTTTGAAAAGAATTACAGTCATGCATCATTTAATGACACAAATACATTCTGAGAAATGTGTCATTAGGCAATTTCATCATTGTGTGAACATCAGAGTGTACTTACACAAACCTAGATGGTGTAGGTAGCCAACTACACACCTAGGCTATATGGAATCCCTGTTGCTTCTAGGCTACAAACTTGTACATGTTACTGTATTGAATACTGTAGGCTATCGTAACACCATGGTATTTGTGTATCTAAACATAT